CAATGAACCTAGATAATTAATTCCAAAATCAATTCTATCCCATAAATAATTACTCAATATTACAATAATTTCTGTCCCAAAATCAATTCTATGATCCTAGATATTACCAGAAATTACAACACCACCAGAAAAAAATCAAACAAAAACAGTGTCAGATCAGAAAAATTACCTACAGCAAGCCAATCGTTTCCTATGATCTCAAAATCAATTCTGTCCACCAAAAAACACAAGAGTTAGATCAGATAAATATAATTAACAAAAAATTGTCAAATCCCTAAATTTTTAGGGTTTACACATATATACCTCAAACTGAGAGCGAGCGAGAGAGACTCAGAGTGAACGGGTGAGAGAGACACAGAGAGACTGAGTGACTGAGTGACTGAGAGATCGGGTGAGAAAAATCTGGAAAGAGAGAGATCGGGTGAGAAAAATCTGGAAAGAGAGAGAGCGGGTGAGAAAAATCGGCTGAGAGAGAGAGAGAGAGAGAGAAACCGGTTGAGGGAGACGAGAGTGAGTGTTTAAGAGAGAGCGTGAGTGATTGAGAGACAGTGGCTGACAGAGAGCGCGGTAAGAGAGAGAGAGTGAGTGACTGAGAGAGAGCGGCTGAGACAGAGAGAGTGACTGAGAGAGATCGAGTGATAAATCTGGAAGAGAGAGGCAAAAGTGATTGAGAGAGGCAGTGTGAGAGGGAGTCTGAGAGAAGGGAGGAGGCGGAATGAAAAAATCGAATCAAGTTGAAATGTTTTAGGGTTTCGCTTGATCTGGTGTAGCCAAGAGCAGCAAAACCGGCTTAAACTCCACGAATCATAACTTGACACGTGTAATACTTATTATTTTAATAATATAATTTAAATATTCGGTTCGGTCCGGTCCGATTTTCTGTGGTTTTTGGACAAGTAAAACTGGTCCAACCCGATTCAGGGGTGGTTCGGGCGGTTTTTTTTACCGGTTCTTCAATTTTACAGCCTAAAAACTGAACCAAACCACCTTAACCGGTTCGGTCGAATTTTCGATAATAACGTGTAGCCCTAGTTATTCGAACCCAAAAAAGGGTTTTTAGCCCGAAAAGGGCTACCTCTGCCCAAAAGGTGGCAAACTAATCGGGCCCAAATTGGCTTATTAATCCATCTCAAGGTTTATTTGAATTCAAACCAGGTTTTTGAAGCCCAAAAAAGGGTATTATTAACCGTGATCTTGGTTTACACTCGCTTGACTAGGTATTGCTCGTATCTGTCAAGTCCACATACATGCTGATGAAAGCATATTGAAGTCCTCATGATTGAGGCATAGAAAAGAACTCATCCGAGCCAGTACCCTCCTTGGAGCACAATAGCTTGAGCAGAGGTCCAAA